ATATATTTATCATATGATAACTTTTGTAATATTAGAATTATATTGTAGCAATATTGTAGCAATATTGTAAACATATTAGCAAAATCAAAGGTTTCTGCAAAGTAATACAATTGGTTTGTCACTTGATTAAATATTGATATTTGATGAAGGAATTAAATAATTGATCAGCTATAGCCATAGCTAGTTGGCTATGATTAGCTAGCTAATAATAACTGACTGATAGCCAGTAATAATTAACTAATAACTAACTATAACCAACTATAAGTCTAGTATCACCACCCTAAAAAATTTTGCTAACTATGTGATCTTATTAAAAAAAACTATTTCGTGATTAGTTTAAAGTTAGGGTTCTACCAGTAGGTTAATGTTTGGTTTAAAAGATCATAGTATCATAGTTTTTCAGTACTCAAATAATCAGTTAGTGTAATGTAATCATTGATTAGAGTTACATAATCTGTAGCTATCACTTTATTAATTAAAAGTCTAATTCATATAATCAGTGACACAATTATTAATTAGTAATATATATAGCCATAATCTTTTAAGGGAATTAGACAAACAAGTTTGAATTTGCAATTAGGTTTTCTAAAGTATTCTTCAGTTAAGAAACTGTATACTGTATTATCTTCACTTTAGTGATTATTACTTGCATGATATGCCAGTATAAGATAAAGCCAAGCGTGAAAAGACTTGTGAATTTGAGTAAAGCCATGGGTAGTTAGATAACTATATAACAAAAAAACTTGGGCAAGCAAAAAGTAAACTTACTAAAGTACTCAGTTAAGCTTCTAGATCAGTGGACTTGGAAGCCTCAGGTAGTAATTAGTGAAAGAGAAATATAAGGAATAATAAAACTCTCAAACCTGTTAAAGAAAGTATTAAAGTTTCAAGAATTAAGTAAAAATTCTCTTGCAGTGTATTTGCAAGTTAAGAAATGATGTTAGTAATTTGTGTTAGCAAAATAAAATAACAAAGAACAATAATATTTAAAAAGCAGCAAAGTAATGATATGAGGTGTTTGAAGCTTGATTATTTTAAAAAACTGTTCTATTAATTTTGATGTTGTTAATTGGTAGACTTTTTTTAGGATTTTAAGAATATAGTAAATTAAAAAAGTGGAATAATAATGTAAAACAAAATAGTGTTGTATTGTATGTATTGAAGAATCAAAGGCTGCAGATATATAGAATGATCAAGAAGTGTGATACATAATACAGTTTGAAGAAGGCAATAATTAAGGAGATTGTAAAAGTTAAAAAAAATATTAATAAGGTGTGGAGTATAAAGCAAAAGAACATGAATTTATATTGTTGTATACTTATCACTATGAAATGCTTGTGGCTCTGGTAAAGAAGATAATTAAAGATTACGAAAAGATATATTGGTTTATATTTGGATTAAAGGAATCATACTAATAAAAGGTTGAAATGATGTGTCCAATGATATATGAAGAAGCAAAGAATTTTATATTGATAGTAGAAGCCAGAGATAATCAAAAAATGTACAAGAGAGTGAAAAAGTAAAATTAGATAATAGTAAGTTAGAAGATATTAATACTGAAGTAAGAGAAATAAAAATTGAAAGGAAAGATATACCAGCAATTGGAGTCGAAAAAGATAATAAAGCATTCATTTGTTGTCAACAATTGATCAAGATAGAAAATATTATTGAAATGAATTGCCTTGGTTTTAATTATTAAAATAAAATTGGTGTAAAAATGGACAAGGTTATAGATGGTAAATATGATGTAGCAGCCTATAATATAATAAATGAATATTTTAGTAGTACTAAAAACTGAAAATTTAAAATTAACGAAAGATGCTGCAACAAATCTGAAGATACTGAGAACAATAATAATATAATCATTGAAGTAGATAATTATTAGTTGAATGATATAGAAGCTAAAATCGATCGAATTTTATTAGCTATAAATTATAAAAGCTATAGTAATAGTGTTAAAAAGGATGATCATAATGTATATATTTTTTATCAAAAATCTGCAAAGGTAAAACATGTTAGTAATATACATGATCCAAAAAATTGTAATCAAGATAGAATTGGCTTTAAAAAGACAAATATTCAGTACTCAATAATTATTAAAAATTAGTTGAGATAGATTTTGCTAATGAAGCAAAAAATCCTGAATATTGTTGCTATAATAAAATTGAAAAAAATTGTGCTGATGTAAAGTATAAAATTGGCTATTGATATCAAAATAGAATTAATAAAAAGTATGATTATAAAGTATCTATTAATTATCAAATATCTACAGAGATAGGTTATAGTGATAAAAAGATGATCTAGATTATTGTTATCAAAATAGAGTCATTGATAAAAATGTTGAATATGATGCATCTATTAATGATCAAAAATTAGCAGAAATGTATAGTGCTGATGAAATATATAAACTCAGCTATTGTTATCATAATGGGATTAGAGCTAAGATAAATGAATACAAAGTTTGTTTGTTTTTGAAAATTTGCTGATATAAGTTGTGCTGATAAAATTGAATAAGATAATGCTATTGAGTTGAGAGATGCTAATAAACATACAATTCTGGATATTGTTATCAAAATAGAGTAGAAATTAAAAAAGAATATTCTCTGAATAAATTTATGAATATTGATCATAGCATGCTAATATCATTTATATATGTCTTGTAAACTTTTTTGTTATTTGTAGTTGGTAGTATACTAAAAAATAATATATATGAAAAGCAGATATATGAATATAAAGGAGATCATAATATTGAAGTGAGAACAATGGGTGTTGATATTAAGCAAATTGAAGGAGATATAGTTGTAGTTGATTATATTCAAGTAAATGATAAAATTAAGGATGCTATAAATAAGAATAGTCTAGAGATTTCTTATAAAAAGTAGTTAAAAAAGGTTTAAAAGTTAAGATATGATATTGGAGATACAAAAATAAAAGAACAATCAATAGAAGTAATGTTTTGAGAAAAGTGTCTGGTGTCAAAGTTAATAGTGATGAGTTAAGGTGTATTTCAAAAATGAAGTATAAGAGAGTCTAGCTTGTATCATAGTATTTTAATATTCAGATAATCAGTTAGTTTAATGTAATTATTGATCAGAGTTGCATAATCTGTAGTTATCACTATATTAATTAAAAGTCTAATTTATATAATTAGTGATATAATTATTAATTAGTAATATATATGACCATGATTTTTTAAAGAAATTGGACAAACAAGTTTGTATCAAGAAATTTTTAAATAGGGTGAATATTTATTATCATTAGCAAGGTTGATTATTATCGATTAGAAATCGATAAGAATTGATATTGAGCTGCTAATTAATATACAACAGATTAAAAAAGCAATTGATTATAATTTTATTAATATTGCAAATCAATTACATACAATAAAAATCAATTATATGACAAATAGTATAAATCAATTAACCAAGTTTTTTTAGATTATGCTATATAGTAATTAAATTCAGTACATTGTTATAACTAGTGGGAAAGACTTGTATCAGCAGAACTAATTTAGTTGAGGGTTGTAAACATAAACAAAACTTGTTATTTTATAATATACAAAAGATACAAGAACATAATAACTAATACATATTTCTTTATTGTATTTCAGATACTAACAATATTAATATTCCTATTTTTACTATCTACTTAGCAAGTTCTAAACTTACTAGACTTCAACTCAAATTACAAAACTAAAAGATAAAACTATTGCTAAAATATATATTATTCTATATATATCTATATACAAACTCTAAAGTAAACTATAGTCTATTTAAAGTATACTTGAAATATATATATATTATATGATTTAATATCATAGTGCAGTACTACATATGATTTACACTAAGATTTTTTAATTTTTGTCGATCATTTTACTGAAAAAAATTGATATAGCAATTTATTATTAAAATTACATATCTTCAAAATGTTTTAACTTCAGCTCTAGTAAAGCAAATTCAATTCTGTAACTTGCAAATAGTATATGAATAGTGTAATTTTAAAACTATGTTGAGATATTTTTTAATTTATCTTATTAATATAATTAAAATTTCAAATCTTTTTTTAGTTACAAATTTAAATAGTAAAATATTTATAATTTGAGTTTAAACTATAGAGGTCTAAAATATTTACTTATAATACTTAAATATCTTAATATAGTTTTAAAACTAACTATTTCTATATTATTTGCAAGTTACAGAATTGAATTTGCTTTACTAGAGCTAGAGTTAGAATATTTTGAAAATATGTAATTTTTTTAAAAAATTTATAGTAGATAATTTATTATATAATAATTATAAAAATCACATATCTTAAAAAAGCTCTAACTCCCACTTTAGTAAAGCAAATTCAATTCTGCAACTTGCAAATAATATATAAATAATGCAGTTTTAAAACTATGTTGAGACATTCTTTAATTGATTCTATTAATAAAGTTAAATTTTTAAATATTTTTTAATTACAAATTTAATAGTAAAAAGATTATGGTTTATAAGTTTAAGCAAGAGACCCAAAATATATACTTATATATAATTCTTTAATGTCTTAATATAGTTTTAAAACTACGCTATTCATATATTATTTGCAAGTTATAGAATTGAATTTGCATACTAGGGTGAAAGTTAGAATATTTTAAAGAGTGTGATTTTTATAATTTTTATAATAAATTATTATAAAAAATCATCAAAACTTCTAAATTCTGCTTTAGAAAAGCAAATTCAATTTTTTAACTTGTGAGTAGTATAGTTTTAAAACTATGTTGAAGTATTTTTTTAAATTATTTTAATATACTATAGTATATTTAAAACAAAACTTTAGTAAATTTGCTATTACTAATAATAAAATCTGATAGGATTTTTTATCAAGAAAATTTTATAAATTCAGAAATATTTTTGATACTATTTATCTTATTAACAATTTTTTTTATTAGTCAACTCTTTTATTTTACACTTTACTCTTTACTTTTTTTTTCAATAACTTAGTTAAAATAACTTTAGCAGTTGTCTCTTCAAGTTCTATTTCTGCCTTGTTAACTATATTACTTTGTTTCTTCTTGCAAATTGCTAATAAATCTTCACGATCAAGATCAACTTGACTAAAAGTAGAAGCCTTGCTTCTTAAAGTTTGTTAGTAGAGCAATAACTCTTATACTATATTTAACTTACCAAATACAGTATTTTCAAAAGCAATCAAAGCTATTTGTAGTACATGTAAACTGCATAGAATTCTAAATAAAGATGTATTTATTAGTGAATTAAATTTTACTATGGCACTTTATTATTTCCTGACATATATGCTGTATTATCAGTAAGCTGAAATTCACATTGTCACAGATCTAATTTATTCTCTTTGCATGTTTTCTTTACTATTTTAGCTACAATAGCTTTACTACACCTATTTAAATCTATTATTTTTGCAAGTATAGCCATTGGTTTATTATATTATTCACACCAATACAAAAAACAAACCAAAAAAACTTTCTTATCACTACGTGTACTTTTATTTGCCCTTACACCGTATGAATAGAAAGTAGTTGCAAAGCTCTTGGCCAATTTTGCTTAAGTAATATAGTAAAAACTTCCTTATTCTACTACAAAAGAGTTTCTGTTGATAGCTTTTTATCTAGTATTTCACTGGTAAAGAAAGTTATCATTTTATTAGTATATTCTATTGCTGCTAAAAGTGAGATAGTTCTGATGTTACTTATATCTGTGATGAGCTTGACAAATTTAGCTAAGTATTCTTTTTTATTTTGTTTAATTATTTGTTTTGCTGCCACATTAAACTGACTTGGTATAATTTTCTTATAAGTAATAGATTGAATTTTAGAAGTTTTTTTTTGTTTCCTTAGCTTTTACAATTTTTATATAGAAAAATTTAAGCTTATTATTTGAGTTTTCTAATGCTTTTGCTAATTTTTTATTTTTCATTTCTAATTTTTTAATCTTATCTTTAAAAGCATCAGCAGATGAATAATGCTTAAAAAAGCTACTATTTACAAAATTATTTGCTTTATTTTGTATATATTGTAATAATATTTTGCCTTTCATATTGCCTTTAAAGTATACTATTGTATTTACTAAATGTTCAATTCTCAAGATTTGTTAGTCTGGTAAGCTTTTAATTTTATCTATTAATTTATTGAGCTTTTTTAATAATATTTTGCTATTTGAAAGTAATTGAATCTATATAATTTCTAACCTTTATTAATTCTTGTTGATTTAAAGAATCAATAAACTTATAGATATTTTTTTTTATTTTTAATTTTTTGGATCAGTGATCTTCTGTAATATTTAATAAATGCTTTTTTTTGTATAGCAGGTTATTTTGTTAATATTAAAAATTTATAATAATAAATAATATCTAAATAAAGATTATTTATTTTCAAATATTCATTTATATCTTTTTTTTTTTGGTGTTAAGGTAAGGCCTTGCTCATATCTTTATTAATAATTTTTTAAA